GCTTTGGAAGAAATGCAACCTTTCAGAGATTCTCAAATTTAGGTGTAACTTGGAGGGTACAAATGTCTGGTCGCATTGGAAGAAATGCAACCTCTCAAAAATACCCAAATTTAGGGATGACTTGGAGGGTACAAATGTCTGGTCGCATTGGAAGAAATCCAACCTCTCAGAAATCCTCGAATTTAGGGGTAACTTGGAGGGTACAAATGTTTGGTCACATTGGAAGAAATGCAACCTTTCAGAGATTCTCAAATTTAGGTGTAACTTGGAGGGTACAAATGTCTGGTCGCATTGGAAGAAATGCAACCTTTCAGAGATTCTCAAATTTAGGTGTAACTTGGAGGGTACAAATGTCTGGTCGCATTGGAAGAAATGCAACCTTTCAGAGATTCTCAAATTTAGGTGTAACTTGGAGGGTACAAATGTCTGGTCGCATTGGAAGAAATGCAACCTTTCAGAGATTCTCAAATTTAGGTGTAACTTGGAGGGTACAAATGTCTGGTCGCATTGGAAGAAATGCAACCTTTCAGAGATTCTCAAATTTAGGTGTAACTTGGAGGGTACAAATGTCTGGTCGCATTGGAAGAAATGCAACCTTTCAGAGATTCTCAAATTTAGGTGTAACTTGGAGGGTACAAATGTCTGGTCGCATTGGAAGAAATGCAACCTTTCAGAGATTCTCAAATTTAGGTGTAACTTGGAGGGTACAAATGTCTGGTCGCATTGGAAGAAATGCAACCTCTCAGAAATACCCAAATTTAAGGGTAACTTGGACAAACGTTTGGCTGATGTGTAGGGCATTGAAAATAATAATATTATAATATCTTTGGAAAATTCACACCAATCCACCTTCTAATCTGAAGCTAAATGGTTGACAATAAATGTTTTTCTTTCTTCTTTCTTTCTATTCCAATTTCATAAAAATAATAAATAAATAACCCTGGACAATTAATACATCGCCATCTAGTCCCGCTGCAAGCAGAACTTGTGTTATGGGTACTAGAGAACTGATATAAATACTTGTTTTTTTTTATAAATACATACATAATATACACAGGATATTCCTGGACCGATACAAATAATCATATTCAAGAATACAAATGTTTGTACCGTGCGAGGAATCGAACCCGCAACCATCTGAGTAAGGTGCAGTGCTAAGTTACTTCGGCAAAGTCATATCTAGTCGCTGTGCTACAGGTTTAAGCACTTGACAAACAAAAACAATGACTGCATGAAAAAAGTTATTGAGTTTAATTATAAACTTTCGCGTTTACTACACTTTATTAATGAACAACGGGTTTTGACATGAATAATTTTATGGTAAATAAAATATCTATACATATAAATAAAATTGGAGTGTCTGTTTGTAATATTGAAATAACCGTTTTTTACTACATGCATATGAATATAAATACCCAAAATAACATTTTTTCTCTGTCTGTCTGTTTCTTCCGGCTAATCTCTGAAATGACTGGACCAATTTTGAAAGGACTTTTATTGGCAGCTAGGTGATGTATAATAATAAGGAGTAATTTAGGCTACTTTTATTTTAGGAAAATAAAGTTAAATACCACGCGGACGAAGTCGCGGGAACAGCTTGTATACCATAAAACTATTCATTTTAAAATCCGTTTAACTATATCACCAATGGTATTGAGTTTGTTTTGAAGACTTTCTAATACAACAAACAAAGAGACGTCCACATGTCAACAATGCATTGCGTGTTAAAATATTTTATTGTTAATGCGCATGCTATGATCAATATCAATCAATAATGATTAATAATGTGATGACGGACATTCGTGTATTGAAATGTGGAATTATATTTTAATCAACTGCAATAGACGTTGTCATTCTGACTCTAGAATATCTAGATACCTCTTATTTTGTTTAACTCGAAGTCATTTTGCTCTCTCTCTTTTTTTATTCTAATCTTACATGACATAGATTAAGGACATTTATGTATTGTTATGTGGAATTATATTTTTAATCAACTGCAATAGACGTTGTCATTCTGACTCTAGGTATATCTTATTTTGTTTAACTCGAAGTCATTTTGCTCTCTCTCTTTTTTTATTCTAATCTTATATGACACAGATTAAGGACATTCGTGTATTGAAATGTGGAATTATATTTTTAATCAACTGCAATAGACGTTGTCATTCTGACTCTATATCTTATTTTGTTTAACTCTAAGTTATTTTGTTCTCTCTCTTTTTTTATTCTAATCTTATATGACACAGATTAGGGACATTTATGTATTGTAATGTGGAATTATATTTTTAATCAACTGCAATAGGCGTTGTCATTTTGACTCTATATCTTATTTCGTTTAACTCTAAGTTATTTTGTTCTCTCTCTTTTTTATTCTAATCTTACATGACATAGATTGGAATTTAGACTTGTTTTCCTGGCTGTATTACCTATTATGTATATATAGGGGATATTACACTATAATATATAAATAGACAGTAGATAGGACTTATCATAAATGTCTGAAATAGACCTATAAGATTAAAGAATATAACAAGATTAAATAAGAAATTTTACCTAAATGTCGTTTAACTAAAGTTAGTAATTCATTTTATGGCAATTGCGTAAGGTTTTACAACAAAATACCAGAGTCTGTTATAAATCTGCCTGAAAAAAAGATTTAAATGTCACATAAAACACTTGCTTTGCAAAAAAGCTTACTATAAAATTGAAGAATTCGTTAACGATAATAATGTTTTTATAGAAAAACTTAAAATGCGTAGCTGACAATATTATCTGATTACACTAATAATGAGTGCGTAGCGATTTCTATGTTGATTATCGCATGCCTCTTACTTGTTATACTGTAATTATTATATAAAAAACATCTATTCAAAAGAGCAACACACAAGTTTCTTGCTCATTCTTCTTGTGATGAATCTGTATTCCGAATGAGTGGTAGAATCAAAATATAACTATTCAAAAGTGCTTGTAATGAGTTTATTTGAATAAAGATTATTTCTATTTCTATTTCCAAAAATAAATTATTATTTTTAAACAAATAAAACCTGAAAACTAAATCTTATAACTGGATGCACTCAAACTCAAAACTCAATCTTATAATTGTTTACCTAAATAGAATCATTTCACTTCTTTTGCATGTCATATTTTTTATCACTATGCCTATGGTTCAATTCGGAACTACTTCTAACTACTCCTAAACTAACTAAATTAACTACTTCAGAATTGGAAAAAAAATTAACTTGTAATTTTTTGACTGTGATTGTTAATAAGTTATTAAGTGGTCATTTTCCATTAGGTGGGCTGTCAGCAGGCCTGCCAATAAAAAAATGGACCACTATATCCTGGGGCAAGGTCGACTAGTTCTATAAACAAAGTGTAGTATGTAATTAGTATCGCTACAATTATGCAATGCAAATTCAATAGTTCTCGACAATGTTCCGTGAAATGTTTATTTATGAATGGTTTAACATTTTTAATTTTTTCTCTACCGTCCAGTTCAGTATATAGATCCAATTGAGAAGAACTGGCAAGAAACTCAATTGAATATTTTATTATTTTTTTTAAAAGTCAGTTTATTTACAATGTATATTTATATAGGTATATATGTCTAACATTAAGATAGATAGATAGATAGATAGAATATACTTTATTTGCAACGTAAGAAGAAGCAAAGCAAAGCAGTAAAGTTATGATAGGGCGTTAAATAAAACATTAAATGAAAATCCCGTGCATGAACAACTATTGCCATGCACGCTCGTCATTCAAGTAATCGTTCGTCGTCAGTAAATATGATTTAACAGATGTTTTTAATTACTAAGGTTTCTAAGGACTGTATTTTTAATATATTTTAATTTTAGTTTTAAGAGAAACTACGGTCGCTGAAGGTAAAGACATATATTTTAAATGTAACAAATAATAGAAAATAGGATTTTAAATATATATAAAAAAATACAATAAAAGTCAAAAAAGAATAAAAGTGCGTCATGCACAGATGTTTTGAATTTATTTAAGGGTAATTCCAGTATATCCTTTTGTATCACATTGTAAATTTTTATACCTATTTCCATAAAAGACTTATTGACTTTTTCTAAACGACACTTGGGGACAGCAAGTTTGTCTTTAAATCTAGTATTAATATTATGAAACTTACTTACCATATCTAGAAAGTTACTGGTGTACTACTTAATGTAACAGTCAAAATGTCAAAGTATTACATATAAATTCGTTTAACAATACAATTGAAATAAAAATACAAATTAGTTTAAGTGAAATAAAATCTGAAAGTGTGAAATCTATCTCACGGATCTGTAACACTTAATATCGTCTGGTAATTCTATTGTGGACTAATGTAAAACAACTGTACTGATATGTAAATTTTGAAATAATGTGTAAATTTAGAACTTTCGTGGAAATTTTGAACGAATGTTTTAGCCAAACTAAGATTCCATTAGCCAAACTAAATTCGATATAAATGTAAAAATATTTTCATTCGTTCATTAATAGTTGATATTACCTGATGGTATCTCAATTATACTAAGAAATACTCATATGTAATACTAGCTGTACCCGCGATTTCATCCGCGTGGAATTTAACTTTATTTTTCTAAAATAAAAGTAGCCTAAGTTACCTTATTAAATCAGGTACTTGCCAATAAAAGTCCCGTCAAAATCGGTCCAGATATTTCAGAGATTAGCCGGAACAAAGAGAGAGGCGGACAGGCAGACAAAAATTGTAAAAACTGTTAATTTGGTGTATGTAGCGTACTTATATGCATATGCATGTAGTAAAAAACGGTTATTTCAGTATTACGAACAGACACACCAATTTATATGTTTAAATTATCTGATAGTATCTCAATCATACTAAGAAATACTCATGAATAATCATCATCATCATCATCATCTGCTTCTTCCTTATCCCATTTATTTGGGGTCGTCGTAATACCTTTATTAATAATATTAGCAATAATTAAGAATAAAGAAATTATGAAGAAAATACTCACGAAAACATCATAAGAATAGCTATACTGAGGGTGTGGATTATGATGATCACGAGCATTATCACCATCTCTTGCATAATGCGCCAAATTCAACGGATTCGCCTTCACTGGTTGTATCTTTTGTATTCTGAATGGATCAGACCTGATCCCTGAAAACGAGGTCTTACTTCTCAGCACAGGTTTGTAGTCATGGTATAACACCTTCTTACTCAAACCAGGGTTGTTAAACGTGTATGGCACAGTTCTATACTTGATAGCGTCTTGGTTGTTTGACGGGAAAGTTTGGAATTTTTGTGACTTTAGCAGATTCTGCGTACCAATATACCTCTCGTATTCGGGCAGTTTTGTATCTGGATCGTTGATGTAACCAACGAGAGCTTCTTCTAATGTTTTGTAGGTCTTGTAAGCTGATTCCTGGCCTTTGGAGCCTGGGCCGGTGTCGTCATATTTGTTTTCTATGGCGAACCGTATTTGCGCGTCTGTAGCGGCTGAGTATTTTGGGTAGTGTTGGAATTCATTGGTATTGATGCCTGTTGCGCAAGCGAATAGCAGTGGTATCTGTAAAGAAGGAAATTGCATTTAATAAATTTATTTATTCATCCATAACAATATAAATTATATAGGTTAACGTAATAGTAACTTATACAGTTATATTTTCTTTATAACACAGGGGGCAAACTGGCATGCGGCCTGATGGTATGCGACCTGATGGTAAGTGATTACCGCCGCCCATGAGCATCCGCAACACCAGGAGAATCTGATCCACATTTCCCAACAAACAAAATTGAATAGTAAAAATATATTTAGATATTTTTATAATATAAAAAAGCATCACTCATACTTTTTCCACTTCGCAACGTAGAATATTTTAGCAAACTAGAATGTGAACTATGTGTCTATAAAATTTTGTTCTAATCTATTAACTCCGGCAGGATTGAGTAACGAATATTAAAAACTTTAACATTTATAATACCAGTAGGATTACTGACTGTATTCATTATTGAAGTTTCAACACTTGGATAATATTTAAGAATGTTCACCGAAGTCTAGTAGTCCATTACCATCTCTAAGAGCATTGGGATTCCAAGGTGATGGAGCGGTGTCGACATCTCTAGCTCACGATATATTGAGCGATCGTCAAAATGGCTTTCGCCGTAATCGCTCAACTGGTGATCTTTTAGTGTATCTCACACATCGCTGGGCTCTTGGCATCGAGAGCAAAGGTGAGGCGTTGGCAGTCAGCCTTGATATGGCGAAGGCATTCGATCGAGTTTGGCATCAAGGTCTTCTATCGCCCTGAATACCAGAGCGAAATGGCGGTACTTTTGTCAGATTCATCAAAACGAACCAGAGACATTAACGCTATTGTATCTCCCCGAACTGTTTTTGCGCATATTAATGATTTGTTAACTACGGTTGACATTCATTGCTATGCGGATGACAGTACTGCTCTCATCTTTTTCCGTTGTGCAGGAGAACAGCTTGTGTCTGAAATCGAGAGTACTCTCACCAGAGTTTCCGATTGATTGAACTTAATTCAATTCAACCCTCGACACAAGCCTGCGCGTTCAGAGACGCTGTGGCTTCCAGAACACGTCCATTACCATCTCTAAGAGAATTCTCGTCGATGAGTCACCTCGAAGAAAAGGTCAAGCTGGCGTCTCGGTGTGCTGAATAGAGCGGTATCGAACCACTTCTATTGTATAAGTCGTAGGCGAGGAGTACTGCTCTCATCTTTGGGCAGCATCGCTTTGTGTGATGATCTCTCTCTACCGAATATACAACTTCGCATCGTTTTGTGTGTTTATACAACGGACTGTGTTCTGATGAATTGTTTGACATGATACCTACGGTTACCTTTTACCATCGCACCGCTCGCCATCGACAGGGAATTCATCCCCACACGCTGGAACCTAAGTGGTCTCGGACAGTGCGGTTTCAGAGGAGCTTCCTCCCGCGTACACTTAGATTGTGGAATGAACTACCTGCCGAGGTTTTCTCGAGAGACTACAGCATGGGGTTTTTCAAGAAGGGTATATTAAGGTTTCTTAAGGGTCGGCAACGCGTATGTGACACCCCTGGTGTTTCAGGCGTCCATAGGCTACGGTAACCGTTTACCATCAGATGTTACCGTATGATTGTTTGCCACCTAAGTGGTATAAAAAAAAAATCTTTTCAAAATTATAACTAAACTATTTTCAATAGTACTGTTTATGCAAGTTTTATGTAAAACTGGCTGACTTAGCAAATATAATATGATAACGCTCTTACGAAATAGAGATTGATGGTAGAAGCGTGAAAATTTAGGGTAATATGTATTTTTGAATGCCTAATCATAAAAAAAACAAATTAACAATTTTGTTCAAAAATTTTTTTGTATAATATATATTTTTTATACCCTTGTTTGTTGTTTAATAGTTTTTTTATTTATAGATAACTGGCGGTGCTCGTGATTTTACCGTCATGAAATTTATAGCCTATATGTATTCTTCAAAATTCAAAAATTCAAAATTCAAAATATCCTTATTCATGTCTATTACAGACTCTTATTATATGTCTAATCTACCGTTTTATTATTTTGATGTATAAGTTATATTATTGAAATTTTAATCAAAATCCGTTTAATAGTTTTTGCGTGAAATAGTAACAAACATCCATCCATCATCTATCCATACTCACAAACTTTCTCATTAATAGTATGAGTAAAATTTAAACATCCATCCACTCATTTGTCCATCCATACACACAAAGTTTTGCTTTCATAATATTAGTAAAATCAAATTCAGTCGTGATTGCCTTTAACTGGTCAACTGATTTACGGACAGGTTTGAGTTAAGACTGTAATTTTTGCTGTTGCGAAGTCTACAGTTGCATGATGAATAATTAATAATTCTAAACACTGTAATTAAGTTTGTATTAATGGTTTAACTTCTAATTAACTTGGTTTTGACGTCAATTATGGAGATTTAAAAAAAATGCATCAAGAAAATTATCATCTTAGTGATATAACTAAAATATACATAATATATATATATATATAATAGGCACGAGATAACAAGAAAACATATAAAAAGAATCATCAAATTTAAATTTAAAATAAATCAAATCAAATTTTAATTTTAAAAGAATATTACATAAAAATCAACTTAGTATACTAGTATAACTAAAGTAGTATATAAGGCACGAGAAAACAAAATTTATATATATTGCATACACATTCTTTTGCGACTGCTAATTGGAACTCAGGAACGTTCCTCGTAAGTTGCTCTAATAACCACTAAGCTATGATACTCTCTACAATTACTGATACATATAACTAGCTACACGCCCCGACTTTGCACGGGTAACATGTATTATACGTATAAACTATTCTCTTGAATAACTCTATCTACTGCTAAAAACTGCATTAAAATCCGTTGCGTAGTTTAAAAGCATTAATCCGTTAGAACAGTAAACTATATTATTTCAATTACTATAGTAATATTGTTTAACAATATTGCATTTATTACTGCTAGAACACTGAGGCCCTCAAAGTATATGTAAAGACTAGCTGTTCCCGCGACTTCGTCCGCGTGGAATTTAACTTTATTTTTCTAAAATAAAAGTAGCCTAAGTTACTCCTTATTACATCAGCTACCTGCCAAAAAAAGTCCCGTTAAAATTGGTCCAGCATTTCAGAGATTAGCCGGAACAAACAAACAGACAAAAAAAATCCGTGTATGTATCACATTTATATTCATATGCATGTAGTAAAAACGGTTATTTCAATATTACAAACAGACACTCTAATTTTACTTATATGTATAGATAATCGAAACTAGAACCTCCTTTTAGAAGTCGGTATAAACTAACTGCAGTTACGTAAGGTACAGCTGTAGTAACGGTTAATTCGAAACGAGCGTCGGTACATCAAAAGTAACGTTTGACCATCATAAAACTGGATGCTATAAAATATATTCAGATCACGTTAAAGTGGAAGTAAGTGAAAACAGAATTAATCACACACCAACAAGTATTACCCAACCATTGCTAAGAAGCTGTTACTTTTGCATTTTAACGAATAGGAAATTTCTTAGATTTATAAAGCTGACTCGCCAAATGTTATCTAAATATATAATATACTAGCTGCTCCCGCGACTTCGTCCGCGTGGAATAGATCTTAATGTTCTAAAATAAAATATTTTTTAAAATAAAAGTAGCCTATATTACATCAGATACCTGCCAAAAAAAGTTCCGTTAAAATCGGAGATTTCAGAGATTTCAAAGATTAGCCGGAACAAACAGACCGACAGACAGACAGACAAAAATTGCTGCGGGCAAAAGATAGTTTTTCCATATAAATTGAAATACTAATATCGATGTAAAATAAACAACTATTACCCAACCACTACCAAGAGTTTTTTTTTCTCTTTATTTTGGCAACAAACAGTCGTTATAAAAACATATAAATATACAAATAAAAGTAATTTTTACGATAGACATTGAGTGCCGAAAATTTTTTACTTAATTTTATTTTTAGTGAGCCTAGTGGACTAAAATAAAAACAAAACAATACAAATACGAAGAAAATGAATAAGAAAAATGAGTATGAATAAGAAATAAGAGTATTACAATACAAACATTATAATAATTATAATAACAAAAATAAAAATAAAAAGGGGGTTACTTTAGTATTTCGAAAAGTTTCTTTCTGTATGTAACTAAGGTGCAACAAAACGGATCCAATTCAAAGGAGTTATGCTTACTTTTGCATTTTAACGGGTAAGGAATTTCTTAAATTTATAAAGTTAACCGCTTGGTGCGAATATGTAGAATTTCCAGAGATTCGTAGGGATGAAGTCCTACTGGTAATCTTCTGGGTAAGCGCTACATATTAGGTTTAACCATCATTTCCCATCAGATGAGGTAAGGCCAATCGCAAACCCATTTATACCTCATAATAAAAAAAAAGAACACGATTTTTTTAAGTATTTAGGAAATTTATATATTAGTCATCATCATCATCATCGCAGCCCGAAAGACGTCCATTGCTGGACATAGGCCTCCTCCAAAGATCTCCTTGGTCCTGCGCTAGTCGCATCCAACGCCTTCCAGCGATCTTGACCAGATCGTCGGTCCACCTTGCTGGAGGCCTTCCCACGCTACGTTATCCGATCCGTGGTCGCCACTCGAGAACTTTACTGCCCCAACGGCCATCTGTCCTACGAGCTATGTGCCTGCCCATTGCCACTTCAGAGTCGCAATTCTTCGGGCACTCTGGTTCTTCTGCGGATCTCCTCATTTCTGATTCGATCACGCAGAGTAACTCCGAGCATAGCCCTCTCCATTGTCACGTATATCCCACACACACGTATATACTCTTTTGTTTATAGGTCTGTGGTTAAATTAAGAATAGATTAATATTGATTGTTTTTAATATTATTTATCTATATTCTTTGACAATAGAACTTTAACAATGTTCAAACGTATAATTTAAATGAATTATGGTCGCATTTCGACCACAGGGCGACCACTAGTATGTAAATATGGTGAAGATTATGTTTACGTATCTCATAATC